TTCTAGGGTCAGTGCAAGTATTTTTGCAGTTGAATGGAATAGCAGCTTCTAAGAAATAAAAAACAGATGTTAGAGGAAGGCATTCCAGGGTGAGTCAGGAGAAGCCTTAAGGGTACTCTGTGTTCACAGCTTGCCCTACACTTTTCCTTCCTATCTTGATAGATACCTGCATCCCCAACTCTGTGTAGGCAGCATCAAGGCCATAGTAGATCTAAAAATGTCAAAATACATTTACTCCCATGCCTGAATGTCCCATGGAAAGAAAAGCTTGACTGATCTCAAAAGGAGTACTCTTAGGTAAAGGAACATACTCTCTTGATTCGCTTTTCAAATCTGGGAAAATATATACAGATAAACTACTTATGGGTAAATATTAATCATATAAAACCAACCTGTTAAAACAGAAATTAACTTAATTTTTTTCAATTTCTGTTTACTAAGGTTGTTCAGTATCAAGTGAAGTTACTCTATATGAAAAAAAAAAAAAGGTAGTGCCCTTTGGAAAGTTATATTAAACATCATAAGTATCATACTTTCTTGGAAATGTTAGCTAAAGTTGCTATAGAAACTTAGCCACATCACATTGTTAACACGTGTGTGGTATGCATTTTTGAAATAACATGCAATTTATAGCACTGAATTAAAATTGATGTATGATTATACCTGCATTTTTGGTATGTTTTTGAAATAGAATAAACATGATTACCTTCTAAATTGAGGAAATAGAAAAACATAGGTAGAATGTATTTATATAAGAATATGATAATTTTGCAATAACTTAAAACACCTGAAATCATTCTTTAATTTGTTTAAAAAGCTTTTATATTTCTTTTGGACAGAGTTTCCACTGAAGTGAAGATTAACATGAGTTAGTCTGTCATTCGTTTACCAAGGGTCTACTGTGGGCAGCTTCCTTTTATAGTGGGTAATTAAAAGAAGTATAAAAGGCATTCTCAACATATATCTCTCTATATATTTACTTATGATTAATTCTTTTCTGAAATTCAACTGTTTTGTCTTGTATTGCTGTAAAACTATGCCAAAACCTAGTGTCTCAAAGTACTAACCATTTTATTATTTGCCCATGATTCTGCAGTATGGGCAGAGGGCTTGGAGGGATCAGCTTGTTTCTTATTCTATGTGCCACCAAAGCTTGGGGGCTGCTGGAATGGGCCATAGTCTGGGGTCTCTGTTCTCAAGGTCTGTAGGATTCCTTGGTTGTCTTCCATGTGATCTGTTTATGCGGTTACTTAGCTTGGGTTTCCTCACACCATGGTGATCTCAGTTTAGTCTGACTTCCCAGAGCATAAAACTGTTAGCTGCCAGGCACCCTCAGAGCTTAGGCCTCCTGCTGGCACAGTGCTACTTTTGCTGCACTGTATTGGTTAAAGCAGGTCACAAGACCCCAGCCCAGATTCAATGTGGGAAGGAATGCCACAAGGGTGTCAATATTGGAGACATAGTTCACTGGGGGCCATCTTTGGAGGCTAGCTAACACATCAATGTTTATTAGAGAAATTCACGAACAAGATACCAAGCCTATTTCCTACCAAATGACCAAAAGCAAAGGAATGCTCAGCTTAATTGTCTTTTACTATACAGAAGTCTACACCCAAATCTTTCTGATGTTTCCATGATCTCTCCCAAATATGCCTCATTCAAATTCTTTCAGCACTGCAGTCTCTTCATTAGGTTCTAGCATGACTCTCATGTACACTAAATGTTTCCAGATGCATGAATTCCAAAATTCAGAAAAATTAAGATATAACTAGTTTAGTCTATATATTTACAGAGCGTTCTCAACTTTGTAAATTTCTTTTTATAATTATTTTTTTCTTTTTTAGAAACAGGGTCTTGCTATGTCACCCAGGCTGGAGTGCAGTGGCGCTTGGTCCTAGCTCACTGCAGCCTTGAACTTCTGGGCTGAAGCGATCCTCCTGCCTGAGCCTCCCAAGTAGCTGGGACTATAGACACGTACCGCCATGCCGGGTTAATTTTTAGATTTTTTTTGTAGACACGGGGATTTCGCCATGCTGCCCAGTCTGGTCTGCAACTCCTGAGCTCAAGCGATCCTCCTGCCTTGGCTTCCCAAAGAGCTAGGGTTACAGGTATGAGCCACCATGCTTGGCCAACTTTGTAATTTTTTAATTGCCAATTAAGAACATTAAAAAATGTACCATCTACTATTACTCTTGCTTCTTAAAGGAAAGTATGTTTACTTTTTAAAAAAGTAACAGAATTTCATACTGAAGGACAGCCTTCATTATGAAACGGGTTACTTTATGAAAACTTACTATATATCTTTATTGTTCTTATTTTGCTGCAAGTCATGAAAATCCCACCAAGGACTGCCACTGGTTCCTGGACCCAGTGTTTGGGAATCCCTAGTCAATTCAGTGTTACTGAACATTTTCAAGGCCTTTAAAAACATTTTTTTATTATTTTTATTTTTTGAGACAGGGTCTGGTTCCATTGCCCAGGCTGAAGTCAGTGACATGATCTCAGCTCACTACAACCTCTGCCTTCCAGGCTCAAGCAATTCTCCCACTTCGGTCCCCTGGGTAGCTGGGACTACAGGTGCCACCATGCCTGGTTAATTTTTGTATTCTTTTGTAGAGGTAGGATTTCACCATGTTGCCCAGGCTGGTCTCCAATTCTTGAACTCAAGTAATCTGCCTGCCTTGGCCTCCAAAAGTGCTGGTATTACAGGTGTGAGCCACCGCACCCACCCTTCAAGACCCTTTTCATTCAACCTGTTAAAATCATTTCACATCTTTATCTAGGGACTGTAATCAGACTGATGACATTGCAAATTCTGTAACTCCCTCATTTACATGGAATCATTTAAATCTGTGCTAATGTAAGTAATCCCATTGTTAAATACTTGTCACTGTATTAGGACTGGATAGTGTAAACATAGTCAGTAGTTATGAATGGGGGGTTCTGTAGTTAGATTGTCTCTGTTCCAATCAGGGTCTGAGCAAGTATTAACAACATATCTCTCTGCACTTCAGTTTCCCCATCTGTGGCATAGTTTTAAATATATCATGTATAAAGTGTGTGGAGTAGTACCTAGCACATGGTGAGCACTCAATATATTTGTTATATTATTATTATATTTATACATGGCATCAGTAATTTGCCCTTGCATGTAGGATTTTAACATACTTTTCTTTTCTTTTTTTGAGATGGAGTCTCGCTCTATCGCCCAGGCTGGAGTGCAGTGCCATCTCGGCTCACTGCAAGTTCCGCCTCCTGGGTTCACGCCATTCTCCTGCCTCAGCCTCCCGAGTAGCTGGGACTACAGGGGTCTGCCACCATGCCCAGCTAATTTCTTGTATTTTTAGTAGAGACGGGGTTTCACCATGTTAGACAGATGGTCTCCATCTCCTGACCTTGCGATACGCCCGTCTCAGGCTCCCAAAGTGCTGGGACTACAGGTGTGAGCCACCGCGCCCGGCCCATAATTTATATTTTAAGGGTGATCTCAAATATCCACAATACTTTGGAAGAGATTAGTCACAATTAGACGATAGAATTTTAAGGTTGTAAGGGAACTTTATTTTGTTTTTATTTATTTATTTATTTTGAGACAGAGTCTCCCTCTGTCACCCAGGCTGGAGTGCAATGGCGCCATCTCGGCTCACTGCAACCTCCGCCTCCAGGGTTCAAGCAATTCTCCTGCCTCAGCCTCCAGAGAAGCTGGGATTAACAGGTGCCTGCCACCACACTCGGCTAATGGAAGGGAATTTTTAATATCATATGATTCCACCCTATTATAGGTGAGGATCTCTTTATTAAAAAAAGTTGGCCGGGCGCGGTGGCTCACACCTGCAGTCCCAGCACTTTGGGAGGTCGAGGAGGGTGGATCACGAGGTCAGGAGTTCGAGACCAGTCTGACCAACATGGTGAAACCCCGTTTCTACTGAAAATACAAAAATAGGCCAGGGGCAGTGGCTCATGCCTGTAATCCCAGCACTTCCGGAGGCCAAGGTGGGTGGATCACCTGAGATCGGGAGTTCGAGGCCAGCCTGATCAACACGGAGAAACCCCATCTCTACTAAAAATACAAAATTAGCAGGGGGCGGTGGCGCATGCCTGTAATCCCGGCTATTCGGGAGGCAGGAGAATCACTTGAACCCAGGAGGTGGAGGTTGCGGTGAGCCGAGATTGCGACATTGTACACCAGCCTGAGCAACAAGAGTGAAACTCCATCTCAGTACAAAACAAAACACCAAAAATTAGCTGGGCGTAGTGGCGCATGCCTGTAATCCCAGCTACTCCCGAGGCTGAGGCAGGAGAATCGCTTGAAACCGGGAGGCGGAGGTTGCAGTGAGCCCAGATGGCGTCACTGCACTCCTGCCTGGGCGACAAGAGCAAAACTCCGCCTCGGAGGAAAAAAAAAAAAAAGTTAATTCAGAGTCCATCTATCTTACGGCAGAAGATAACTAGTGATGTGTTACAATCATCAGAAGAGCCTTGTAGGTAAGTAAGCTATATGGACTTCACATATATTTCTAGTAGTTCTGCCAGGTTGGTTATCACTTCCACTTATATTTATCAGTGTCACTCATGTATTGTCTTAACTACCTGTATTTCTTCGTATGTGTCTAAATGGAAAGCAACATAATGTTCACCGTTCTCTGAGAACAAAATTCCTAATACCTAAAAATGGTAATAATAATAAAAAAAAAGACAAGCAGGGTTTAGGAAATTTATTTTAGGGCAACTGCTAGATTTATTTTAAGCCCTACACTTAAAAATAAATCTAATTCACATGACTTAAAATGCTGGAGCCAAGAAAAGTCACTGCAAAGGCATTTAATGAGATACCTGGTTTGTCTAGTTGTCTTTGCTATGATTTTTGTATAAACCAAAAACGTCCTATCTTAATATATACAGTGGATTTTACATCTAAATATTTCTTGTATTTAATAAATTAAAAATAGAAATAGACATTTTTTTCAAACCATATAAGATTTTCCTAACCTCTGACTCACATCGTAAGGTTGGTGGACTGTTCAGATGCTGTACGATGCTTCTTACCCCGATGCTTTTTGGTTCATCTGTAGCATTTTCCATCATGGGGTAAAAGATCCACATTTTCTATTTCTAGTGATCCTTAATTTGATTTCTGAGCAAAAATAAAGTTTGATTAGAAATACATTAAGGTAGATTTCCTGCTGAAACCAGTGAAGAACATAACTTTATCAGCGGGGGTGAGTGACAAATCTTTCACCTTTCCTCACATCACAGTCAGTGAAGCAACGAACTAGGAGAAATGCCTATTATTCTCATGTCCTACGTCAGTTCTGATAAAAATCACACTTACGTTTCACTGAATGTTTTGACATTGAAACGACAGCATTACATGTCCAGGAGAGAACTACAGTGGGGGTGTTAATGAAGTAAGAGAACTAATACGAATGACTTAAAAATATTGATTTTTTTCTAAGAGATTATTTTCCTTTAAAAAAATTAAATTGAGCTTGACTTCTATTGACTGTACCTTCCGGAGTCAATATTTTATGGCTCCCCTGACACACACGCCTGGCGTGGGAGGGTTGAGCGCTTCGAAACTTTCCCAGTGAATTGTAAATGGGTTCAAGGCTAGGGCTCCAGAGGGCTATCCATGGAGTACCACCGAAAACCAAACGCCACCGAAAACCAAACGCCGCTAAATGCTGGTACCTGCCCACGAAAAGGCTTCCTGCCTAAAGAAGAACGTATCACCCCATCCTGACAGTAACAAGAACAAGCACTATCTCCTCGTCAGAAGTCTCTGGACTTGCTACAACCCAGAGGAAACAGAGCTGGGGCATCTGCCGGGACAGCGACCAGAAGCAGCCAGAGCTCCGCCTCTGTCCGGACCTCCAAGGCGGCTCCAGAGCCCTGCAAGGCTCCTCAGAGCCGGCCAAGGCTCGGACCCTACCGGCAGCTGCTTACCCCACGTCTGCTCCTCCCGGCGGTCCGCCTTCTCCGCCCGCCTGCCCGCAAGGCCCCGCCCACCTCACCGCCCCGCCCCGCCCTGCGGAGGCGACAGCGTGCGCGCGCGCGCGCGGGGTCCCGGCTGGTTCCCCTTCCGAGCGACGGCGCCCCGCATGCGCAGTCTGCGCCGGCGGTCTCCGTTTGTTTGAACAGGAAGGCGGACATATTAGTCCCTCTCGGCCCCCCTCGCCCCACCCCCCCAGGCATTCGCCGCCGCGACTCGCCCTTTCCCCGGCTGGGACCGCAGCCCCTCCCAGGAGCTCCCCCATCAGCAGCCGCCGGGACCCAACTATCGTCTTCCTCTTCGCCCGCTCTCCAGCCTTTCCTCTGCTAAGTCTCCATCGGGCATCGACCTCGCCCTGCCCCACCGGACACCGTAGCAGCAGCCCCAGCAGCGACAGGACAAAATGGGAGAGTGAGGCTGTCCCGCGGGGACCAGCTCGTGGCCGAGACTGATCGGTGCGTCGGGCCGGGCCGAGTAGAGCCGGGGACGCGGGGCTAGACCGTCTACAGCGCCTCTGAGCGGAGCGGGCCCGGCCCGTGGCCCGAGCGGCGGCCGCAGCTGGCACAGCTCCTCACCCGCCCTTCGCTTTCGCCTTTCCTCTTCTCCCTCCCTTGTTGCCCCGAGGGAGTCTCCACCCTGCTTTTCTTTCTCTCCCCGCTCCTGCCCATCTCGGGACGGGGACCCCTCCATGGCGACGGCGGCCGGGGCCCGCTAGGCTGAAGCACCTCGTCGGAGCGACGAGGCTGGTGGCGACGGCGCTGTCGGCTGTCGTGAGGGGCTGCCGGGTGGGATGCGACTTTGGGCGTCCGAGCGGCTGTGGGTCGCTGTTGCCCCCGGCCCGGGGTCTGGAGAGCGGAGGTCCCCTCAGTGAGGGGAAGAAGGGGGAACCGGGCGCACCTGGTGACCCTGAGGTTCCGGCTCCTCCGCCCCGCGGCTGCGAACCCACCGCGGAGGAAGTTGGTTGAAATTGCTTTCCGCTGCTGGTGCTGGTACGAGGGCATTGTCACAGCAGCAGCAACATGTCGACTGGGGACAGTTTTGAGACTCGATTTGAAAAAATCGACAACCTGCTGCGGGATCCCAAATCGGAAGTGAATTCGGATTGTTTGCTGGTGAGTAGCGCTGTTCTCTTTTGCTCGTCTGGGGTTTTGCATGTCTTTCCTTCCTCTTGCATTACTCTGGTTCGCTGCAAAAGAAAGTCTCAGGTGTGCATAATCGTCTTGGAAAACCCTGGATTTCTGTTTCCCGAAGAATCTTGGAGTACCATTAACATCTCATGGCGTGGTCCTATTTGCCATTTGACTGGCTCTGTACTAACTACTCTCTGAACTTTTAATTCTGACTCAGTTCATGAGTACCCGAAAGATACTTACAAACTGCTATTGCAGGCATCCTATAAAAAGTTATTACGTCAGAGTTACTGCAACGTATGTAGTTTGTTGAATGGCGATCGTAGTAATACTAATCTTTTTGATCAGTTTGACAGTTAAATTGAAAAGACAACTTTGCTTTTTTTTTTTTTTTTTTTTTGCGATTTAGCTCCTAGGCGTTTAGTTTTTAGCCTTGAAAGTGACAACGGATAATTGATATTGAGCAAGTGATTTTTGAGCCAAAATTTCATAGGTGATTTGAGTTTGAAGGAACTTTTGGCTAAACTATTGTAAAAACCAAAGATAATTGGTCTTAGGCCATTACAATGTTAACTTATTATATTATTGGTTACAAAAGTACTGACCATACAGTTATTGTAACTGTCTTTTTGGTGGTGTGGCACTTAACATTGTCACTTTTAAAACATTCTAAAGAGGGTTTTATGACATGAAAAACCAAAATCCCATTTTAAAAATAGTTAAGTGGTTGATAACCTACAGTTCTCTGTAAATAATTGGAATTCTTAGGTTTGATACATTTCCTCTGTAAACGAGTTTCTGAACAACTAAGGGTTATATAGTATTTCTCTTTTAGTCCAAACAAAACCACAAAATCTCTAAAAATAAGGTTTCAGGGAGTACGTATATGGACGGGATTTCACAAAGTCTTCGGTGAAATAATGTTAGAGATGCTCAATTTTGGGAATTAAGATTAAGGAAACAAAATAATACCACTCAAAGAAATAATACAATTCAAAAATCCCATCTTGAATCAAAGGAAAATTAATGTAGATTGTTTAAAATTAACGTGCATGTTTTTCCACGTGTATGGACTTTACAAGAAGCTTCCCAAAGCTTTCAGAATTCTAAGCATCCCTGACCAGGAAATAAGAGTATTGTGGGTTATTAGAAATGATTTACCACATTATGGATGCTCTTCATATTGAGAAATAGTAAAGAAGGTTGATGCACAATGGATTTTAAAACATTTTATTAAACGAGATAAGTGGAAGGAATTAGAATATATCTGTCTAGTAAGGATTTCTATAACTTCTAAGAAGTCTGATTTATCTTTTAATATTTATCCAGTTTTCATGTATTTTTGAGTTTATTTTGCTTTTTGATCTCCTTATTACATGAGATGGTGTTATAGGGAGGGTTTTGTAGCTTTCTTTTTTTATTTTAATCATCTTCTAGCCTCTTGCTATAGCTTCATTTGTTGGGGACCTTTATTTAGATGTGGAGGATACAAGGAAATATAAGTCATGGACTCTTTCCCTGAGAGTCCAATCTATTTAATGGAAGACAAAACCTTATCTCACATATATACACAGAAACAAAGCCAAACACTTCACAGATTGAGAAATGTGATAAATTCCAGATGATTGTTTAGATAATGTATGATCTTGGAAATTGAGAGGAAGAAGTCACTGTGAATTGAGAGAGCCGAAGTATGTTTCATGATGGATGGATAGGATTTAGATAGAGGGTACTCAGGAGGAGTAGAGGATAACGTGAATAGAGGATAGAGACATGACTGGCTATGACAGGTTTGGGGAAACAAGGAAGATAAGGTTGGAAGGAAGGATTAGGGTTAGACTGTGGAGGATTTGATTGGTAGGCCAAGGATTTTGGACTGCCTTTACAATGTTGTGGCTGTTAAATATTTATAAATAAGACCGTGCTAGGATGAATGAAGAAGATGAATCTAGTGTGTGGAAGATGGGTTAGCATGGGAAAAGATTGGAGAGATGGTGAGATTGGATGGTTTTAAAAAATTATTATTGTAATAGTCCAGAAATGATTGAAGCCCAAAATTGGGGCATGAGAATGAGAAAAGAAGAATTAATGGAACTTTATTGGCAGGCTTGGGGAAAAGAAGGGGAACCAAAGAGAGAGGCAGTAGTCAGATGACCCTGAGAAAGTTGAGCCTGGATTATAGGGAGAATGGTAAAAATAGCAAAGTCAGGTTTGGAAATTGCTTGGCTTTGAAGGCCTACAGATAAATTCAATTTTAGATTTGTTGTATTTGAGGGGATAGTGGAACAATCATGAGGAAATGACCTGTAGACTGTTAGAGATACACAACTGAGCTCATAATTACAGATAATGATTTGGAAGTCATTTGCACAAAGGTGCAAGTTGATACGATAAAGGGAGAAACAGTGGAGGGAAAACAGGGTGAAAGATGAAGGTTGAACAAGGAGGAAGAGTGGAGGAAGTAAGCAATCAAGGCCTCTAGAGTTAGGACAGCCAGTTATCATGGAGGCCAACACTTCTAAAGCAACATTTTGAAGAAGAGAATAGTCAACAGACACGTTTGGTTGTTTTTTTCCCCTTGAAATCTTATTATCTTGTCCCCTTTTAATGTTTAGTTCCACAGCTGTTTATTGATAGCTGTTACTGAAATTTTATTAGCCTATCAATCTGAACTTGGTAAAGACTGAATTTTCCTTTTTTTTCTGAGATGGAATCTCACTCTGTTGCCCAGGCTGGAGTGCAGTGGTGCCATCTTGGCTCACTGCAACCTCCGCCTCCCAGGTTTAGGTGATTCTCCTGCCTTAGCCCCCATGAGTAGTTGAGATTACAGGCTAATTTCCGTATTTTTAGTAGAGATGGGGTTTCATGTTGGACAGGCTGGTCTTGTACTCCTGACCCCAAGTAATCCGCCCTCCTCGGCCTCCCAGAGTGCTGGGATTACAGGTGTGAGCCACCGTGCCTGGCCCAAGACTGAATTTCCTTTGGAGTCAAAAAGTCCTTTTTTCCGGTTTTGTAGTATCTAGCATGAATTTTCTTTGCATGATGTCTTATGTTTAACATTGAGCATTCATTCATTCATTCATTCTGTCATTCAGAGTGACCTATCAGTTGACTTCAACTTTTTCAGTGAGTTTGTTCTTGTTCTCCCCTATCTGGACTTTGGACCTCTCATATATTATAGGAGCAAAACTCCTTTTACATTGGTTGCCTTTCTATATTATTTTGACTTTTGCTGATTTGTTTAACTGATACTTACTTATTAGTGTGTATTATGTGCCACAGGCAATTTAGTTCTAGGATTTTTTTTGTAATCCCAAAAATAAGGTTTTCAAATTGTTTCTTCTCTACCTCCTTTACTAGATTCATGCTTAGAAATGGAAACTTCCAAATCTTTTGGTTTCAGAAGTTTGCTGATGTATGTCCTTTTAACTACCTTACCCACTAAACAGCTTTTTTTGTTGAGACACTAATGATGAATAGCATCTGTAATCTGAAATTTGAAATTCGAAGTGCTCAAAATCTGAAACTTTTTGAGTACTGACATGATGCCGCAAGTGGAAAATTCCACACCTGACCTTGTGCAATGGGTTGCAGTCAAAACTTTGTTTCATGCACAAAATTATTAAAATATTGCATAAAATGACCTTCAGGTTGTTTGTGTAAGGTATATATGAAACGTAAATGAATTTCTTATTTAGACTTGTCCCCATCCCCATGGTATCTTAGTATATGCAAATATTTTAAAATCTGAAAAAGTATGCAGTCTGAAACACTTCTAGTCCCTAGCATATTAAACAAGGGATACTCAACCTGCAGTAGTTTAGAATAATGTAGCTGGAAGAACTCTGATAAGTGGGTATCCAACCTTTTCTGGAACACCTATAATTTTTTTCAAGGACTAAGTAAGTTCAGTCTTCATATTATATATAAATGCTAAAATAGTCTGCAAATATTAAGATATATTATGATAACCATTTGCTTGTTTCCTAAAGCATTCAAATTAGTCAACTTTGCTTTTCTGTAAGTCATATTCTTTCCAGTGTCCTAATGGTTGTCTTTCTTACTGTCCATGTTACAGTTTATAAGGATTATCGGGAGCTATTTCCCTTTTTCTGACTTCCTTATCTTCTAATTATTTTGTCTAGGGCCTGTAATAATTTCTCAGTGATTTTGAGTACCCTTGAAAACAGAGTAAGGGATAGAGTTTAGTTAAGTCTGTTTAATCTTTGCAGAGGAAAAGATGCTTATAATTTGTAAATTAAAAAGGAAAAACAAGGCCGGGTACAGTGGCTCATGCCTGTAATCCCAGCACTTCGGGAGGCCAAGGCAGGCGAATAGCTTGAGCCCAGGAGTTCGAGAGCAGCTTGAGCAACATGATGAAACCCTGTTTCTACCAAAAATGCAAAAAGTTAGCCAGGCGTAATGGTATGCGCCTCTGCTCCCAGCTTCTGAAAGGCTGAGGCCAGAGAACTGCTTGAGCCCAGGATGGGGAGGTTGCAATGAGCCGAGATTGTGCCACTGCATTCCAGCCTGGGCAACACAGTGAGAACCTGTCTTAAAAAAAAAGGAAAAACAAAAGTGGTTGGGAGGGTTATGGATATATTTGTTTTGAAGTTTGACATACTTTTCATGAAAATACAGCTATCTTCCTTGTAGCGTATTTATTAGCACACTGCTTCACGATGCCAGTTAAGAACATGACCTTTCCACTTTTCTTCTGGCTGGTGGAGGTGTAGCAACGGGTGAGTGGAGGAGATGGAAGGGAACCAATATTAGTCGAACAGTGCATGTTGACTTCTAACACTGTGCCGTTCCTTTTGTACATGTTTGTCACTACTATTTGTCATTAGGGAGTTGTTCAGAATGTGGAAGATAAACGTAAATGAAATTTCTGGTGTTAGTATTTGAGTTTTTCTTCCTTTAAATTATCTTCCTGGGCTCTCTTGACCTAGTGCTTTCCCATCTTTTCATTCTTTTTTTCT